CATACTGATGCATTACGTAGCTTCGCGACCCATAGAAACCTCCGATATAAAAATGCATTCTGAGAATTTATAGATAGCCTCCAATCATGAGGTGAGTAAAGGATTTTGCAGATAGAAGATTATGGTAAAGGTACTGAAAATCACGAGGATTTAAAACATTTTCAAACAAAATTGGTTAAGAAATAATTAAGCTTAGGGTCCAAATTCTACCATGTGAGCCATCCCGGATATCTATATGTTCACATTAATTATTATTTCAGGACAAACTTAAATTCTTTATATTAGATAACATGGTATAAAATATTATTGTCCTAAAATGTTAAACATATCTCCAAAAATGTCATGTAAAGACTGAAAGTTGAGTTACAGTACTGGTTATTATAAAACGTCGAATATTGCTTTGAGTTATATAATTTTTACTTTCTATTATGTAATATTTCATTTTGTTATTGAATAAAAAAATTTCTAATAATAATTACCATTTAAGAAACGTTAATTGTCAATTTTCTAAGCGAACCTTTCCCCCCACTTTCGTCCCATCACTGTGTGCCCGTCATCGCGTAAGGGACTTCCTTTGCTTCGCGGCAAGGTTCGGAGCAGGAGAGCAGATTTTTGAAATGTCACAGCATTCAGTTGGCAAGCACTGATCAAGGCTATCCGGGTCGAGCCGTATGTCTGTCGTGGAACCTGATATTTTGGCCAACATGTTGTGGTCTTCTTCAAAGTGTACGCAGATCTCCTCAGAGCAGTACGCTCTGAGGAAGGCCATAACATGTTGCCCAAAACGTCACCCACCACGATAGAGACGTGGCTCGACCAGGATAACTTAGACAATTTAAAATCCGGCTGCGGAAGCCTAAGCAATCATATCAAGAAGTTCTTTGGTTCGAGTCTCAACGGGGGTAGATTTTCGACACTTGTTTTTGTTTACAGTTAGAAGAAATCAGCCACTGACAAGAGAATTCTAACGGTCGGCTGCTCTGATCAATAAAGTTTCAAAATGATAACCAAAAAATAAGTTTTGCTGTTTCTCCGATCAATAGCAGGGAATGCCGAAGTAGCCCTACAAAAGAAGACTGCGGATTATTGTATGTAGTTATTCAATTAAAGCGGGAGACAAAAATCCTTTGGTTCTTGGCTTAGAACAGTCGCAATATTACTCACTTTGGGCTGATTTGTTAAAGAAATTGCTATTCAGTCGATGGATACAAGTATGTACAGGGCGAGTTTATATCAAAGAATGTACGTTAAAGTTAAATGCAATTTTGTCCCAGCAATGTAATTTTATGATGCTCAGTTGTATTTCATATTATAACAGCTGGTGCATCTGATGCTAAAATAAAATTTTTCTGTTCAGGAGGTATGCCAATGAACAATCACCTACTGTCAAAATATTTTCGTTTTTCTGACTGCAGAAAACCAAGAGAAAAACACCAGTTTGAACATAGTGACTAGTCAGGAACAACCTAATCCGTTACGACCTATTATACGTTAAGTTATAATCAATTTATTTCGACTTCATCAAGAACAGTAGTAAATATCTCACTTTCAGAAAACTATCCTAAATCGTTATGCACCTAGATCCACAAGTTGTGCAAAAAAACAACAACAAAAAAAACAAAAAAAAACAACAGAAAACAACAACAACAAAAAAACGTTTTGTATAAGAATGACAGCTGTGACAAATGATAGCGCATTCTTCTTTCGGTGGAGCCCTGTCATATTTCGGAAATGTATTAATACCTCGCCCGCAGGACGCCGAGTCATGCTCCCATTGTGGTCCCGCGGAGCGACTGCCTTGTGTTTGTGGATCAGAGTAAACAAGCGCCTGGAGAAGCCCGCACGGGCGGAAGGGCGTCGTGTCGTATCGCGTCGCATCACATTGCATCACATCGCATCACGTCGCATCGCATCGCAACACGTCGCGTCGGGAGAACAGAAATCGCAGCTTCCTAAGCCGCCTTCAGTGACGAAGAGGGAATGCTGACATTTAAGTTAGGTGCGCTATGATCTGACTTGGAGGTTTTCATTCCCCTCTGTTTAAGAAAATATGTATTCAAAGTGAAACCATTTCCACCATTCCTCGTGGTTCTTTGGATAGACGGTATTTCTGTAATTTCAATAATCACAAAGTATTATATTTTAAATAAAATAAGTTAAAACAGAATATTTAACCCGTTATGTAGTATACTGAAAGAAGTCCCTGAAAAAGTATTAGACTCGAGAAGTCATATTTTAGACATTCAATAATATTAAAATTCCAAGGTTTCTAATGAATAATGATGAAACAAGGTTTGAATCTCAATACTTTTTATGGATCGCAGAATTTGCGGGACGACAACGGTTCCTTTTTAATTTTCTCGGTAAAGAGAATCATTATATATATATATATATATATATATATATATATATATATATATATATATATATATATATATATATATATATGCAGGGGATGGGGGTTGAGCATAAGGATCAGATGGGCTTTTATGAGGGGTGCGGTTACTACGGAAAGCAGAGTCTGGTGCCAATCTTCTACGCCATCACAGTGTCTCGTGAAATTCTCATGTATGAATATTTGGTTTCTTAACTTTCAAAACCATCTCGTGTAGAACAAATTTCTATCCATCACTGAATAATGAAGACTCCCATAAACTTTCAAGTACCGCTCTCTTGGCTGAATTGCACCAGTTTAAATTAGCTACTCGCGCATAATTCACACAACGTCCAGATTTAAAGCTGATGCAATTCAGGCTCTCAAGGTACACTTAAGACCAGGCAGTTTGATTAACAACTGCCGCTGAGCAACGGATGGACCACTTACAATGGCTGGTGAACTATATATTTGTATATGCGCGCGCGTATGTTTGCATAGTGAAAGGCATGAAAGCAGAACGGAGGGCCGTACTCGGGACTCGAAACGTTGTGAGATTGTGTTGTTTGGATAGAAGATGCAGTCTGGAATGCTTCTTCTATACGTATCAAATCTAATTCTCTTTTCGAGTTTCGATCACCTGGGAAAGGTGCCCGTGCACCCTGGAGCAATGCGAAAGATTTTAGTAGAGTTGCAATACCTTCACTTGCTATTGCGAATTTAAAGCGAAGCGGAAGACTACTTGATGCAACACTTCTTCCACTAAGAGCTGTCCTTTCACAAGAGGGTTACCCATAAGGTGAAACATGCCGGCAAGGGTTTTCTTCTTTCAAATATGAAGTTAATTAGGAAGATCTCTTTTACATACGAAGATAATTTTGGAGTGTGCCCATTGGGCCAGTAAGCTATAAACTAGTGGTATTGGCTAGAATATATGATTCCAGTTATTATGTATTTAGCAATCGCGATAAATGTAATATGAACCGATATACCGAACAAGAAAATTCGAAGTACAGTATGTTCAGAATCATGTTGAATATACTTATGTCTTGAAACGTTACATCTTTCTAAAATCCCATAGGGCGGTTAAAGGCGTTTTTTTTATCTTGAATTATTTCCCTATCCTCGTTTGGCCCACCCCACAGATCTAAAGAGTCTGACAAGCGCAGGACATCTGGCAAACGGCGTAAAGGCGGCTGTGAATCCCCAGAGGCACTTTGTGACACGTGAAGAGATATTTCGAATACAAAATGCTTTGACAGCACATCGGTAGAGTCCCACAATTCAGAGCGGTCGTTCGGAGCCGAACGCCTTGAGCCATCAGGCACTGCCAACGAGTCTATCAGCTTGTCCCCGGGAGGGGCGCATGCGACAGAGACGCATGCGACAGAGACGCATGCGACAGAGACGCATGCGACAGAGACGCATGCGACGGAGGCAGTCGCACGCTCGAGTCGCGATCGTTCAAGAGGCTACCCATCGCGACGCACCAGTACGCGAGAAGCGGGCCTCTGAAGAGCAGACTTCGGAATTTTAGGCACAAAAAAGTGATGATTTAGGCACCTAAACTACGTAACAAATTTATGCAATTAGGCATGAAAAGTAACGATTTAAGCACTTAAAGTATAAAAAAAAGTACTAAACCAAATATTTAAAATATTATACATGGAAAGTTATGTTTTTGTCTTATCTGTCTAACACCGATAATAAACTGATTTTTACATTTTCAATAGTGCCTACAAGCATATTATTTTTATTCACTTTCATTCATATTCATTTCTTGCGTTATTTCACAATTCGCATCCTCAAACTGTCAACAGTGCTGTTGCACCGGGAATGGTGCAATTGCTAAAGAAACGCGTGCTGATGGGAGTCGAGCGTGAAACACACTGTTTGTATTGAATTGCAGAAGCGTCTATCGTCAGCTGTGTTTGGTGAGTGATTTTGTTTGATGCGTAGTCGATTGCTTTTTGAATCAGGGAATATTCGCGTTTCGGGAAAGATTAAGTTTCGAACCTAAAATTACGCTAAGGCGGGGAGATTTTCTCGAAAAATTGATATTACAATCGAGTCTGGCTGATGACTCGGGCACTAGAAGATGAAACCATTATTTTAATTTTGAGGGGGTGGCTTTTACATGAAGTCACTGAAACATTTTCCAAAATAAAAAAATTGCTCCATCGTTTCAAATTAATTTGTTGTTGGATAGTGTGAAAGAAGTTAAAAGAAATGGGGCAGGTTCTCACTTGTTTCGTTGAAAACTCAGATTGTTGAAATTCCAAAAATTTAAAACCTTTTTCGGCGTCTTGTACAACTACACTTATGAAGAATATACGTTTTCTCTCAGTGAAATATGTTTTCTTAAAGATATATTTTGAAATAAGGTCATCGTAAATTTTTTCGAAAATTTGGTACTTTTGGTGTAATTTTGCGTGCCAAACAGGGCGAAAGCACGTGCTGTTTTAGGACCATCTGGCGCTGACGTCGTCCAGAATGCTAGGTGTTCGTGCGTGGCGTGGCGTGGGTGGGGGCGGGCGGGGCGGGACGAGTACTCACGGTGCTGCGCCTGAGCTTCCCGTGTGCAGGTGCTTCTTTCTGGCGGGCGCCGAGTTCTGGAATCACACCTGCGTACGCGCTTGCTCAGGCCGGTGATCTGCGCGATGCGCTCGTCAGGTCCTGGCCGTCGGGGTTGGAGTCGAGCTGGAAGTTGGCCTGCAGCACCTGCAGCTGCTCCTCCGTGAAGTGGGTGCGCAACGCGGCTTCGTCTTGCTTTGTGGTAGCTCTCCGCGTCGCACGCACTCTGCAACACACGCGCGCCCCGCTTCGCCTCAGCCCCGGCCCGGCCCGCCCCCGCCATCAGCGCCACCGACAACGCGCGCGCGCCAGACGCTCTTGGAGACCGGAAGCCAGAAAAATGCCTTGAAACTTTGTAGGACGATAATCTGTGACGTGTGGAACCGGATTGATTGATTGTTAGCGATTCCGGGTGTCAGTATGATCATCAGGATGAAAAAAACATCGACAAATCAGGATAAAAATAGCTTGAGCGGATAATCAATAAAAACTGAAGCCGCTCCCATTAGTGCCGGCCCCATAGAAACGGAAAAAGGCAAGAATAAAAAAATACGAGTGCAAGGCATACACTAGTTACCGTGATGACAGTTTATTAAGGCGAGTCCCTTCCCTAGCCTCTGCTCTGTGACAATGATCGCATATTCCCTTTTCAATATGCTGAAGCGAAAGTTTGACGATTGCTAGTAGTGCGCAGAAAATAAGAGAGAACGGGCAATGCAAGGTTGAGTACGGAGACCGCAAATAACCCTGAGCCGACAAGAGGTGAACTCCATGGTATAGTGCTGCACACATGCATTCATGCATTCCTGAAAACAATGATATTTTTGCGTCAGCGTGACGAGTACTCAGACATGTGGTATGATCTGAGTATATTTGTTGGTATTTTGAGTACAGTGCTTCACAAGAAAATTAGCTTGCTCTAGGAAATCCAGCATCGCACCAAATATGGCCCGTTATCAGTAGTTTGACGGACATAAGTAACAAGCATATGACTCGTGTCCTTTCGATGAGAAACAAACAATATAAATCAAGAAACAGATTCATTCCCCTTTCTTCAAGGCACACGTTTGTCAACACGCTCAAAACTTGCATGTGAATAATGCTCCCGGTCGAGTTTCGCGACCGCAAACTGGTAATTTAAGTGCATCTTGTTCCAAAGCGTCTGGCTATTGAACTGCTGGCACAAATCGCTTCTTTGCGGGCGAGAGGGGCTACTTACGCAACTAGCTGTACCCGCTTGTGCATTTCAACCTGCTTCGAAAGACCTTCAGTGTGAACTTCTCGGTTAGTGTGACCGCGCCACACGCTCTGGTACTGCAAATGAAGTGGAAGACTGGGATACTTCTCTCGCAACTTTCATGCTATCTGGTGGAGTGTCTGTTCATTTCGATCTTCGTTTAGCAATTTACTGACAATAAACAGTGTAAGTGCATTAATATTGCTGCATCACGGTTCTCAGAAATATCAATAGTCTCTTCGGGCGGAGTTCGCTCATGTTGCTAATGCATATCGAAAGACGAGAAATACAAGAACCATGTACCATTTGGAAAGTAAGGTTGTAGATAGATGAATAGATCTTTTTATATTTCATAAGCATATTTCCCTTACCAGCGACCAACTAAACTTTTATTTTCGTTAAAATATCGATGGAAAATCATTGTTTATTTACAATACCTTCAATAAAATTGAGAGATATTTATTCAAGTGTTATATGCCGTAATGAACAATGTTTGGTTTTTTAGCTTCGACAATGTTTGGTTTGGCATCTTTATTTGATATTTTACCGTCACATTTCTCTTTACTCTACTAGATTGTGACCCTTTAAGATAATAAGATAGTTATATCGCAATTTGTAACTGCCTCCCTATTGTCAAGTAATCTTTTATGTTGTACAAGTTAGTTTCACGAATAAATGAGAAACATGAAGTTAAGGTATATTAAAAGAAAGTATATTGCATTTATTTCACTTAAAAAATTATGCTTTAAAAATAAGAACAAAATTTTACAAATAAAACGCACGTATTGAATCGACAATTACGAAATTTGATACAACAGTGTCTAAGAAGAATGTAAATGTAATATTGGTAAAACGCAATTCTTTGAAGAACGTTCTATTTTAATTGATTTTATATTCATAATGCACAAAATATCAGCAACTAAGTAGTACGTCAACAAGAATGTGCTCGTTGCGCCCGTGTTCTGATGAAAGATAATTGTGTAATACATTCAATGTCTCGGAGGGTAAGACTTGATGTGAGGACAAAAAATACTACCAAAACATAAAACGGACTGAATTGCTATAAAAATATGCCCCGATTGAAACGGCATCTGGCGGCAATATGGTCATTTTCGCGGCACGTAATTCGGTTTTACAGTTTGAGTGCAGTGACTCTTGCACGTTTGTGCGGGAATCGACGATACAAGCACGCTGTGAAATTGGAGGTTGCGGAGGCGAAAGGTTTAGAATCCCTGGCCTCGACGCGAACTTGCACATCGTTGGTGATTAGGGAAAAGCTACAGGCGCTCAATTGTGGAGATCATTGTCAGGTTCAACTAAATCCACTATATATAATTAAAGACTCTGATATATTATGAAGACAGTTTGTTGTAGTACAAAATTAATTTGCAAAAACAACTTAACGAGGAAAGGATATAAAAAAATATGACCGACAAGGACGGACAATATTGCAGAGATATACCGAGACCCCTGCTCCCGTGACAAAGGACTGGAAGAGGCCCCCAAAGGAGGGTTGAGCGCAGATAAGTGCGAATTCTGGGAATGGACCTAATCTTCGATACAAACGTTGTTAAATTTCGAGAACACAAGGGTGTCTAATTGTCTGTGACAAATACCAGAGGAACAAAATTCGGTTCCTTCATGGCTCTTTCGTGGAACACAACAACAGTAGCGATAGTCCCAAATAACCGTATGGAAATATCACAAAATTGAATCTGGTGACCCCTGCAGCGTATCCCTACAGTCGCTTCGTGGTCTTCTAAAGGACAGAGGTTAGAACCTATTACTGAATTATACAGGGACGTTAGAAATGAAAAACAACTTAAATTTAGAAGTTCAGTTTCGTCAAATCGGTCATGACGATTTACACGTAGTTATAAAGAAAAAGGTGCATTACGCATTGTATTTGTAGTTGATAAATTGTAAATAGATATAAATTATAAATTGATCTTTCGTTAGTATACAGCAAAAGATCATTTAAAAGTGGCGGCGTACTACCAACTTTCCGACTTATCTCCGTCCGACCGAGACGTGGCTTGTTGGTAAGCAGAAGCAAGAGCAATTGCGGCTATGCAACGGTGATCTGACGGTACGTAATTGGCGCCCAACGCATGGGGAGAAAATGATCGAAGAGCATCAGCAGCCACCAATTCCGAATGTATAGCGTCAAGAATTAACACCACGACGCAGAGAAGGTTAACCAGATCTCGGGGACCTATGGTTAATGAAAAGGGACTACAGTTAATCAAGCTTTTACTTCATACTCAATGAATTATAGCTCCTACTCCTTTTACTTTCTCGGTACCCCTTACTCAGTAGAGAGATAGTTTTGTATTGCTGTCCGAAAAAATTGCGAATTTTCAACAAGAACGTTTATTACAGGGCCCTGGTAATGAAAAGGTTGATACATCCAGTTGCTAAATTTAGGAAAACATCCTCTAACACTTAGTGAAACCAGAATCCAACCAATTTTATAGGCCCTTGATAGCAAAAAATCGAATGAAGGGCAGCGCGTCAGTCCGTTCGTCCATCTGCCCGTCCGTCAGACTGCGAACAACGCTAGAGGCTAAACCGTTCAGCAGAATTTCTCCAAACTTGATATTCCCCAATCGATCTGGCTGATGTCGCGGTTTCTTGAATTTGAAACAGATATTTTAATTTTCGATTTTAATTCTCTATCCGTTAGTTCATTGGGAAATTGGTCCATTGGGACATTTTCAATTTTTTCAAAAAAATGGCGCCATTGTTTTTTATTAAATATATTAGGTTGTATTAAATAGATTAGTTGGAAAGTGCGAACGATGTTTAAGAGAATGTCGCAGATCTCAATATCGTGGCGATGTCTCCCTTTCGGCATCTTCCTACAACTACAATTATGAAGATAGAGATTTTTCCCTTAGTGAAATCTGATCCTCAAAGATAGGTTTTGAAACAAAGTCAAGTTCAATATTTCGAAAATTTGAGTACTTTTCGCGTAATTTCGCGTTAAAGTAGGAAAGGACTTGTTTTAGATCCACTAGTTCTAGTTGATTTATGTTGTTGGAAACAAATGAATGTAGTGCAGGGCGATGACATTGTAGGAATAATGATGGAGCCATTTGCAAATGAGCTAAGTATACACGGACGCACTGACAAAATTATAGCATGGTCATAACCTGCAGTTTTATTTACCAGCAGTGGCCAAGCATTACCTGTCTAAGCAGTCCCTTCTTATAGTCCGCTTGCAATGCATCTCTTGCAATGTCATCTCCCTATAGCGAGAGTGAACCAGGCGGGGAGTGGAGGAGCGCAGTCTGTGGGTGGGGTGGCGGTGGGGGGCAGCAGGTCGCGTCGCCCGCAGGGAGCTCTCCCTCCTTTGGGCGCCGGGGGCGGGG